CATAGCTAAGAGCACAAAGTCTTGCTGCCCATATCCTTCACCAGTACCAGCAAAAATGGGGGACATGGAACAGGGACAGGAATCTTACAATCAAGCCCCATCTGTTATTTTTAAATGCATCCGTTCAGACAAAGTTGGAGGTGTCAAAACCAAGGCAGAGGGGCACGGGCCTGAATTTTCATGCATCTGTCCATGCCAGAAAGGGTCAAACAAAGTAGGCATGAGCAGCATTGACAGTGCTCCTGGCTGTATTCATGTTGGTGATCATTTTGTAAGGTGAAGGAATAGGCCTGAGGCTGGAAAGGATGTGAGGCAGGAACACAATCCACCTCTGTGCAACAGTCTAAAGTGAGACCTTTCAGAATTTTCACTTCCATAAACCAGCCAAATGAGAAGAGGCAGGAGTTGGGACAGAGGTCGGGAACCTCTTGAAAGACAGGAGTTGGGACAGAGGTCGGGAACCTCTTGAAAGACAGGTTTGACTATCTTTAGGGGTGTAAGGGTAGCAAGGAGATAGGTTAACATGGAAACAGGTCAGGTGAAGAAGGCACAGTGACAGTGGGTCAGCTCCTTGTGCCATGGTCCCAGATGATGTAATTACTTGACAAGCACGTCCCAGACTGAAAACTGGCTTGATAGATGTATTTTGTTTTTTTTTCCTGTTTTAATAAGGTGATCTTTCACTAAGACACAAGCACACAATTCTGCAGATTTAGTTTTAACAATAAAACAAAAGATTATCACTCAAAAGAAATGATTAATAAAATAGAATAAACCAAATATTTCATATAAAACACACAAGTTTAAAAATGTCAAATCCCATGATTAAATACAATTTCATTTCATAGAATCCCTACAGTGTAGAAACAGGCCCTTCGGCCCAACAAGTCCACAACAAACCTCGGAGCATCCCACCCAGACCCATCCCCCTATAACCCACCTAATCTACACATCCCTATGGGCAATTTAGCATGACCAATTCACCTAACCTGCACATCTTTGGACTGTGGGAGGAAACCGGAGCACTTGGAGGAAACCCACACAGACACGGGGAGAATGTGCAAACTCCACACAGACAGTCACCCGAGGCTGGAATCAAACCCGGGTCCCTGGCGCTGTGAGGCAGCAGTGCTAACCACTCAGCCACCGTGCTGCTCCCATTATTCTGACAACACTCCTTTACAGTACTCAGGTGGAGGGAATTCCATTCTCTATCACATCTATAGGGTTTAACTTAACAGATGCTTTAATTTCTGGTTTGGAGAATCTGATAGCCTCTTCCTTGATTCTTCATATAACTGAGCCTGGAATTTCTCACCTTCAAACAAACCCTTCAAGTTTTAGCCAACCATTTCTGGGCCAGAAATTTCAAACTAACTCCTTACACTTGGGAGTTTCTTAACTGTTTCTTAACAGGTCTAAACTATCTCCCTCTTTAGAAGCAACTGTCACACACTCCAGCTGCAGCCAGGGCTCTGTAAACCTTCCCAACCCAGAAAGGCTTTCTTCAAGCAATTGGGTATTTTTCCCAAGACAAAAAAAAAAATCCATTCTGGAACCTTCTGACTGAAGCCTGTTTGTTTAGTTTGTGAAAACTCTCTCAAATGAAAATTGCTCTCCAGGAAGACTCTACTCATACTGTACTTTAAAACAATAACCACTGATGCAAAAATACTTGAAAGTTAATCCTGAAACCCCTTCATTCATACACACAAACCAAACCCCTCAAGCCATGAGTTCAAATGTCCAATATATATAAATCACACAGCTTGCGTCACATACAGAACAGACAAATTTGAACAGGCATCAACTTTGATGGGGCATATCTGTAGGGCCTAGGAGATTTAGTTTGCTATGTTTTAAGTGCTGGGAACCGAGGCTCAGGCCTGTTTGCTGGAACTCATAAGTGATCATTCACAGCATCAAAGATATGGCAGCCAAAACGGGTCCTTTAGTAAATCTGCCATTAGCACAAGGTGGGCTTTTCATCCAGAAAACCTCACTTTCTGGCAGCTTTATGACAGAGGCCAGATTAAAACATTGGAATTAGATCTATGTCCCAATTTCTGCTTCAGTTGTGAAAATCCAGGCCGTAGAAACTTCAGCACAGAAGGCAGCCATTTGGCCAATCAAGTCTATACTGATTCTATGAGTCCCAATCAGTCCACGGGATTTAATGTGTCCCATTTGCTGACTCTATCACTATAGCCCTATAAGTTTACTTCCTTTCAGTGCTACCCAATTTCCTTCTGAAAACATTCAGCACCTTCCCCTATCCGCACGCACAACAAATTCTCATCTGTTAAAAATGTTTGTACTTACATCCCTTCTATTACTTTTCCAAAATCTTATACTTGTATCTGTACCCCTGAGTCCTTATACCAACAGGGGACAGTTTTTTTTCTTTGCCTATCCTACCCAAACCTGTCAATAATCCAGTATATAACTGTCCAATTTCTGTTCAAAGATCCTTTGCTGCAAAGAGAGCAATACAAGCTTCTCGGTGATGGGAACAGGAACAGGCTCCGAGGCAGTGAGAGTGAGTGCAGGCAGCCTGGGGAGGCACCTGGGGCAAGATTGAGCCCTTGTGTGGAGTCCAGTGTGCAAGTCCAGTATGGCCAGGCGCTTATGGACTGTGGTCATAGAGTCATACAGCACGGAAACAGACAGTTTAGTCCAAACATAATCCCAAACTAAACTAGTCCCACCTGCCTGCTCCTGCCCCATATCCCTCAAAACCTTTCCTATTCATATATCCACCTAAATGTCTTTTAAACGTTGTAATTGTACCCGCATCTACCACTTCATCCGGAAGGTCATTCCGCATGCAAACCACCCACTGTGTAAAAAAAAAAAAAATTGCCTCATGTCTCTCCTCTCACTTTAAAAATGTACCCCCTAGACTTGAAATTCCTCATCTTAGGAAAAGACAACTACCATCAACTCTATCTATACATCTCATTATTTTATAAACTGCTATCAGGTCACCTCTCAAGCTGTGTTTCTTTGTTTTTCTACATTTTATTAAGAATGACTGTAATACTTATCTTTTCAACTTTGTTTTATTTATTTTTTTGCTTTGTACTGAGATTCTATACATTGGTGCCTTTTTACCTAAGATGGTGCCATAAGTGGCGATTTGTAAATTTTTCACTGTACTCATGTGAGTACGTGACAATAAACCTAATTCAATTCAATTAATTTTGTAGCTAAAGTCTGTTATCTCTGGAAATCCATTATTTAAATCTCCCCCGCATCATCTCACAAACCTTCACCTACAATATTATAGCTAAGACCTAACTACAACTTTATAATGGATAAGCATAACCTTCTTCATTTTACACTCATGAAGCCCAATTCCATATGCTTTGCTAATGTATTCTCTCTCAGTATGCCTTGCCAATTCCAAAGATCTATGCACATAAATTCTCAGCCCCTCCACTCTTGCACATATTTTTAAGAACAGTGCCATGGAAATTGTATTTCCCTATTCTTCTGCTAAGATATATCATGTCAGACTTCTCTGTAGTAAATTTCATCTGCCACTTGTTTATTCATTCTCCTGGCCTATGTCTATCCTGTTTCATTTGATTGATAATGTCTTCACTGCCAGCCACACATCCAGTTTTGGTATAATGGCAAATTTCAAAATTTTACTCTGAATTTCAATATTCAAATCATTTATATTTATCCGAATAAAGCAGTGGCCCCAGTTCTGACCCTTGGGAAACTCCATGTCCGCGGACCTGTTGAAGAACAGTAAGCATGACTCATTTCTTTCAGTCCTAGTGCCAACTTGTAATGCAAATTGACACTGACTCTCCTATTAACACACAGTTTTATTAGCAAGCCTTATCTGTGTGAGCATTCTCATTGGTAAAGATAAAGTCAACGTCATTATAGTCCTATTGGACACCAGGGCTGCTGTCTCATTAGAGTGAGATGATTGCTGGTGGTTTAACCTAAGGTTCACTACACCTCAGGTTAGGGGAGTTTGAGAAGGAGAATTCTTCATGGTAACCTCAACAGTACAAAACATTCATCAAGCAATATAGTCCTAACCTGCAGCTTTAAACGTATATTATCCAATTCATCTATAACAGGACCCACTTTAACTCTTACTGCCAACTATTGCAGACTGGTATGAGATGTTTTGGGTTTCTTGGATAACTACCATGTGATTCTAATATGCTCACTTTGCCTTTTGTAAATCTTTCTTTACTTCCCCTCTCAACCTATTGTATGGGTCTTGCTTGTAAAATTCAGCTGACTTGAATTATACACTCCCTTCTTTGGATTCCAAAATATTCTGTCTCTGCCTTCACATCAACAACCTTGGCTTTGCTTCCCTTCTTCAAGTATAGGGAACAACATCACAGTGGAAATTTCAGGAAAGACCCTATACAGCAAATGTGGTTGTGCTCCTGGCTGCATTGTACCAAGCCATAAAGACCACGTGTGGGCCTTGCTTGGGGTCAGTGCTGGGATTCTGGAAATGGCATCACTATGTACTCTCTGAGCAAGGCAAGCACCTTGCACATCCTTGTAAAGGTGCAGTTTGCCTGCCACATTTTCTCTATCTCAAAAAGTTTCCAAGGACTGTTAGGACAATTGCCAGAATGTGGGGTCCTAACATAATTATCAGAATTGCAGATTGTGCAGAATGTTAAAAATAGACTTTTATATCAAAATTATTATTATTAAAGATGAGTATAGTTACATTAGTTTGCTTCAAATCAATTCTTCTTTTTGGGGGACTTTCATCTTCCACCAAGAGCAAAGAATTAGTTTGTGAGAAATATGTCATGAAATCAATTAATACACAAAAGAATTCTCACTGTATTTTTGGAGTTCTCAAATGACTTCTAATCTTAGAAATTAGGAGAGACAAATTGTAAACTCATGGTTTTGTGTTTATTGCTGTGACTTAGAAACTGAGAGCCTTGATTAACATAGCCAAAACCTATGACTTAATAAAAGTACCAAGAGAATGAAAAATATCTTGGACAATGTCATTTTAATACTGTGATTATTTTTAACAAAAATGTTAATTTGTCTAACTTTCTGTTTTCTAGCCAGCATTCTCCAAGCCATGGCTCTGTTAATATGTGCAGAAATGTATCAGATACACAGACTACAGCAGATATGCGAATCATACATTGTCACACAGCTACAGAGCATGCCCAGTAGACAACTTGTATCAACCAACCTTAACATTGTAAACTTATATAACAAAGCCAAGGTAAGCCAATATTCATAAAATATTTCTCCACCACTTGCAATGCATTATAGACCATTTGAAAATTAAACATTGTAGTAATTCTGCAAAAATAGGGTTTGATCTCATAGAAACCTAACAACATATGGATTTCACCAGCTTGATTAAGGAAGTGCATCCATTGGTTCCAAAGAAGAGTCATTTTGAACTTGAAATGTCACCTCTGTTCCTTTCTTTACAGATGCTGCCAAACTTGCAGAGTTTCTCCAGCTCTTTCTGTTCTTGTTTCGGATTTCCAGCACCCGTGGTACTTTGTTTTCTGCTTTGCTGCTTCAGTTGGACAATAGGCAAAATAGTTAGAAAATGTGTTTTAAACTGTGTTTCAAATGTAAGCCAAGTATTTGTAATGAGGTTGGTGATGATATAGAAGACTATATCATGGTATCAAACTATAATATGGTATATTTTTGATTCCAAAGTAACTTTACACTGATGACCTTAAGTGTCCATTAATTTACTTTAAACAACATAAATTGGGAATTTGGTACTGACAAAATTTACCAGGCAATTTGGAATGAAGGGATAGAAATTGGACAGATGCAAGACAGGTGATATTGCACACTGAGCTCAAAGTTCATTGTATTGGTTTGCTGCTGGTGTCTTAGGTTTACCCAATTGGGATCCCTCACCATTCCCCTTAAATTAGCCTTAAAGTGAGCTCCAGCTTTTTGGCCCAGTGACAGCAAAGAAAAAGTGATATGGTTTGAAGTTAGGATGGCGTGTGGCTCAATGAGAAACTTGGAGATATGCTGTTCTCACACATTTTCTGTACTTACCTTTCTTCGTGGTAAACCATGCAAATTTAGAACATTGAGGCAGAGGAACCTTGCTGAGTTGCTGCACTGCCTCTTGTAGATGGAAAAGAAATACCAGCACTGTGCATTCATGGTGAAGGGACTAAATTTTGAGGGTAATAGGTAGAGTGCCAGTCAAGCAGCTGCTTTGTCAAAGAACAAAGAAAATTACAGTACAGGAACAGGCCATTTGGCCCTCCAAGCCTTCATCAACATGCTGCCCGTCGCAACTAAAACCCCCCGACCCTTCTGGGGACCATATCCCTCTATTCCCATCCTATTCATGTATTTGTCAAGATGTCCTTTAAAAGTCACTACAGTATTTGCTTCCATTACCTCCCCCGGCAGTGAGTTCCAGGCACCCACCACCCTCTATGTAAAAAAAAAAAACTTGCACCTTGCACCTCGCACCTTAAACCTATGGCCCCGGTAACTGACTCTTCCACCCTGGGAAAAAGCTTCTGACTATCCACTCTGTCTATGCCCTTCATAATTTCCAGTAATTTCCTCCCTTGCCTCTCATTATTCTGGGGTGTATCCCATCAGGCCCTGGGGACTTGTCTACCTTAAATGTTTTTCAAGACCCCCAATACCTCCTCCCTTTTGATCTCAGCATGACCCAAACTACCTACACACTTGGGTGTCCCGGGTGGTGTTGAACTTCTTGAGGGTTGTTGAAACTGTTCTAAAAGATTTCCTGCAGTGATGTTCAAGGACTGAGCTGATTGAATCTCCAAAAGTCATACCTATCTTCCTTTGTGCTAGGTATAATACCAACTGGTGGTCCTGATGGAATTTGGAGAGTGCACTGTAAATCCCTAGTCTTACCACTCTATTGGTCACAATATATACTTAAGAGTTTTACTCAGTTACTGATTTGGCCCATTCATACTTTAAGTTCTAAAAGTGATAAACAAAATTGTTATAAGTGTGGTTGAAAAATACAAATTTGTTGCAGCTTTTTGACTTGCACTCATCAGGACAATTTGCAAGAATGCCAATTAAAAGGGGAAGAAAAACATTTTTGACAGAAAGGAGTGTACTAATTGGTTGGCAAGTGGTCTCTGGTAGGGACATTCCAATGGCAGCACAGATAACTGTCAAAATCATCATTAGTGTACAGATATTAAATGAGAAATATTGACTGATTGGTCAGAGTATTGCCCTGAGAAAGAAATACAGCTCTTTGCTGCAATCTGTTTTGCTGTATTGAACAGGCACAATGCATACTTGTGTTCTTTCAATCTGCAGCAAACTGGGCCTTCTGTATTCATATGTAGCTTTATATGGGGATGAGTGTGTTACATTAAAAGTCTGACTGACAATTCTCTATTGGTTATCAGTGTAATTCTTCACAAACTCAGTATTAGTAGGTAAATTTTGTTTAATTACAGATTCTCATCTAAATCAAACTATCCCAAATTTGTTTACAGTTGCATTTTCAAAAAATCTCAACTATCAACTTTGGCCCTCTGCTTGCAAAACATTCCTAATATAACCGCGAATAGCCTCATTCTGTGATGTAACAATTCTGTGATTCTGTGAATATTTCTGCAACTACTAATTTAGCAAGTACAACTCTCAGCTCCACCTTTAGTATTTTAGTTCCCAGGAAAACTACTGTTCTCACTCATCCATTCCCCACAGACTTCAGGGAACAACAATAAGGGCAAAGAATGTGAACTTGCGTGAATATTGCAGACGATTAGTTTAGCTATTTACCAGATCTGACTGGATCACAAAACACCATGATATCCTGCTTCTACTATCTAAAACTGCACACAATTCCAGGGTCATCCTAGAATGCAAAGATAACCCCTTAGGTTATTTTCTCTCCTACAGACTGTTTTCATAAACTCCTATCCCTCCACCCTACTTCTTTGTAAAGTACAAGGTGTTTGTCTCGTTCTTAGAAATACAGAAATTAACAATCTGATCAACTGCCCTTGTTGTATCTTTTCACTGGTCCATGGGATCAACTTCCCTTTAAAATGTCCCACTTGCAAGGCCTGAACGCCTCTTTCTCCAATTCTGCACCTCATGCCATGAGTTTATCTTGTAGACAAGATTTATTTTGCACTCTGTTGAACTATTTTCCACTAAATAACTGACTACCCAACTTCCCCTCCTGATCCTCAGGGTTAGTGGATTTTCTTAACAGTTCACATTCTCAAATAAATCTGCTGGCATCACCCTTCTGTTCACAAATCTGAGCTTGACCCCATTGTTTTTGGTAATCATCCCTATCTCTAATTATACTCTCCTCTTCAAGAACCTTGACGTTGTTACCATCTGCCAAATGCAAATGCCCATCCTTTCCCAGGATTCCATATTTGAATGCCTCCAATATTCTGTCCCATCTCAGTACTATTATAGCTGTTACCAAATTTGCAAATTACATCCTACATTCCAACTGGACTGGACTGCTGTCACCAGATTCCCTCCATTCTTCACAAATTAGTTGTAGTCAGAGTACCACTTGTAATTGCTTTTCTTATGTTCCGTCCCCCTTTAACTCTGGTGTCTGCCTAAGAATGTATCCACAGGGCAGAGAATCACTAAAGATCATTCCAGACTGATCCGTCAAATTTCACACTCACTCCATCCCTGTTAACAACTCAGAGACCATTGCTGAAGTGTGCATTTCAATCTGGAATACTTTATTTTCAGTTCCACAATGCTACAAGATTATCTACTTGGTTACTGCATTTCATTGCCAGCAACTACCTCATCTTCAGCCAAAAGCTAGAATTTCAAGAGCTTTCCGGTAAGGTATTATTTGTATTGTTTTAAACTCTCAGGAGTAATACAGATTACTTCACTAAATTAATATTAACTAGTGATAATGCTTTTTTTTTGAAAAAAAACAAAAAAAAGTGGGGTTGTAACAAAAGAAAAAAGGAAACTTGCAAAAACAAATTAAAATACCATTCTCAGGCAGAATGTTTTGTTTATGTTTACAGTAGCATAGTCAGGGCAAACAATTTTACAAAGTTCAGGATTTGCTCCCTCCTGGTTGGGTAGCTCAATGTTTCCTTTGGCACTGTGCAGTTGCTAACCATGTTCATAGCCAGCTCCCACCAAAATCAATATCCATTACTTTCAAAGCTTCCCTTCCACAACAGGGTGACTGGTTTTCACTTTCACTTCCCGCAACAGCCACTTCACTCAATGGCCTTGCCTGCAAAAAGAGGGCGCCTTGTCAGTGACCTATCCCTTTTTCTAGAAATTAGAATTATTTGGTCCTGCCTGTCCCACAATAATAGTAAAATTGATCTGTGATGTTATGGACCAGACTAAACCCCTTTGAAATATGTTAAGGAGGCAGACTAGACTGTAACTTTTCCTTATTTTAAAACGTGTTGCATTCCAGATCCAACACAATTGGTCAACCTACCAGATTTGAAGCAAAACACACTTTATTCATATAGTATAGATAAAATACAACCAAAGAAAAAGAAAAAAAAAAAGAGATTTGGCTCAGCAGAATAATAGATTAGTTAGCTACTAAACAGTAACTGTTCCAATATAGTAACATCCCATTAAAAACACCCCTGGCAAAAAGCAAATTCAGAAAAGATTGTCTCACGTGGAACTCCAGGAGGAAAACCATCAAGGAGAACTCAGTGTAACAGGAAGAGATGTACTGCAGCAACAACTGCTACTGAAAAACTAAAACTAAAAATCCTGGTTCTGTGGAAGCTTGACTACACCCATTCAGGCTGCTTCTATTGTTCCAACTTTAGGAAATCACAGGCCTCACAAGCTGTTTACTTTACTGACTTTCAAAATAAACAGCTCAGAAACTCGGTCTTAAAACTGAGAAAATAAAACACAAAAACAGGACAAAACAACCACTTAATGCCACAGTATCATCACAATGTTATGACTAAAAGTAGTTCATTCTTGACCAAAATCAGCTTTTGACTGGGAGAGAGCACTAAACTATATTTCACAGATATTGCAATGTGATGTTAGTTAAGGAAGAACAAATGTGAAGGCATGTCAAGACATGCACATTAAAAGTGAACAGTCAGTCATCGATAAAAATAAACCACAGTCAAGATCAAGGAAAACAAGGCCCTACCTCAATTCTCTTATATAGAAGATTTCCTCAAGTGCTTTTTTTCCCCCTAACTATTTTTAAAGAGTTAAGTTATGGACCCCAAACAGTCAAGAATTTGTGGTGGTCAACAAACAGAGTTAATATCAGGAACGTGAGAAGGATTAACAATTTTCCACTAACTGAAGAATGAGGACACCTCATTGAAGACTTGTCCCAGCTATGACCACATGGGAGTAGAAACGTTTCAGCTAAAAAAAAAAGGTCTTTTACTCCAGCGTTCGCACCATCTTTGGTTGCAAGGTCAGGAGAACTCACCACCTCCAAAGCAATTCCATACACTATAAGACAGTGTATAAGACAGCATGTGCTGATTTGAACATTGGTATAAATTGTGTGTCTACCCAAAATGA